GTAAAAGAGACAGTGTCAGGCCTCACTGGGTCTCTCCTATCCAGCAGGGGTCCTAAAGGAAATCCAGAGCACGCTGGAGGGGGACCGGGGGTAAGTCACTACAGTACTGGGAGAATGGGGACCTGGAGGATGAGGCCGCCCATGGATGGTGATTTCCCTGTCTTTACCACCTCAGGAGCTATGGCAATTGGCGTTCTCACCGCGCGGCTGTGGGGTATGGCCTCGGCAATGTGGAAGGTAGAGCTGTGGGTCCTGCAGGGGAGGGGAGGGCCTGCTGCCCAGGGAGGGACAGGGAGGACAGCCCTAACTGCCACCCTCCCAGGTCCCAACAGCCCCCCGGGGCCATCTTAGCCCTGGAGATCACCAATGGTATCGGGGGCTCAGGGTGGGTGACTATGGCACCCACCCTGCCCAGAATGGTCCTGACCTACTGCCTCCCCATCTTCCACAGCAGAGTGAATGGGACAGCGTCCAGGCTGTAAGATGAGCACACACTACTGAGGGCCTTTCCAGCCCGAGCCTGGCCAGGGTCTACCCTGGCCGCCACCCTGTTGCTGCTCCTGGCCTCAGGAGAGCGAGACCCCACCCTGGGCTGCCCTTCCTGAGCCTTCCTTGTCTGTCTTGTCCCTTTGTTAATGTTGCACAGTTTTTATTCTCCACCCCCCCTCTTTTGTAGTGGGTTGGGTTTTAAATTATAAATTTTAACTGCCTCTGAGTAAAACAGAGTTTTTAATAAACGCCTTGTTACGTCTTCACTAAAACACCCCGAGGATGTGGTGTGAGTCCATCTCCAGCTGGAGTTGGTCAGGGAACCTCCTCTGCAAGTGTTCGCTCCCATCATCAAATGTCGCTAAATATGCCTTCGCATTGTTGGGGGAAGGGCTGCAAACAGCACCCATCCTTCCTCCTAAGGCCCCAATGACCAACGGAGGCATGACCTGCCGAAGTCCACCCCGGGCAAACTAATGAGCACAGATGAAGTTACCCAGAGTGCTCCTCCGCCCAACAGACTGCCCTAAAATGCCTTTACCCAGCAAGGATGACAGCTTCCTTGTAGTAATAGAGACCTCGCACTGGCGGGGACCTCAGAGCGGTGTCCCCTCCCCCCCAGGCCATGTGCAGTTGAGGCAGAGTTGGTGATAGTAGGGGCAACTGGACACTTGGGCAAGAATCTCACACAGCACGCTGCCCTTTTATGTGGGATGTAAACTGCCAACAAATCCAGCTGGGATGTGTTGTGGGGATTTGATCATACTGGGGCACTCAGACTGTTGAAGTTTACCTTGCATCGGGAGTGGAGCTAGCGGGTAGCTGGACAGGAATTGGCCATAGAGAAGCCGGCAATCTGGATAGAGAAGATGCACAGGAAGGACTTGAGTGTGGCTCTTCCTTTTGGTTTTGGGACCAGCGAAGAGACATGTCTCCCTTTGCATCTCCAGCCAAAAGGCAAGGTCAGCTGGTGGCTTCTCAGCTACTCTGATCTAGGAGGTTTTCACCCCATCTGACTTCCAAGCCTTTGTCAATAAAGAAAACAATAGACTTAGTTTCAACCTACATTTCTCAGCCCCTGCTCTGCGTGGGCTTCGGGACTGGAAGGCCCTCCACACCGTGGCCACAGTGGCCAGCAGAGCATTGACCGTGGGGCCATGGGCTGCAGATGATAATTAAAGTATCAGTAGATTCATGCACAGCTGCTAAGCTGATAGAAAACATCAGGGGTGCTACTTTGCTCCAAGATGGCGCCTGCTCAGCCCAGAGGACAGTCGCTACTTTAAACCATGTGAGATTTTTCTTTTGGTGGGTCCTGGCAGAATGTCTTGTCTTGGGTGAGACTCTCAAGTAAAAGAACATGGGGGGGCTGGAGAGACAGCTCAGTGGTTAAGAACATGAGCTGCTCTTCCGGAGGACCTGGGTTTGATTCCCAGCACCCACATGGTGGCTCACAACCATCTGTAACTCCAGTTCCAGGGGACCCAGCGCCCTCCTGTGGCCTCTGAGAGCACCTGTGCATGTGTACATTCACACACACACATTCACATAATTAAAACCAAGATAAGTTTTTTCTTAAAAACCATTTATACCGGTGGTGTTGGTGATGGTACATACCTTTAATCCCAGCACTTGGGAGGCAGAGGCAGGCAGATCTCTGTGAGTTCACTGCCAGCCTGGTCTACAGAGTGAGTTCCAGGACAGCCAGGGCTACACAGAGAAACCCTGCCTCAAAAAAAAAAAAAAAAAAAAAAAAAAAACTTTCTAATATATATCACTTCTGGGTCACCAGAGGGACCAGCAAGCCCATGGGAGCACAGAGACTTCGGTTTGTTTGAGAGTTTGTCCATGAGCTCATAGGACGTGCTGTTAAGGGGCCAACAAGGAGCTAGAGTTCCACTGGGCAGTAATGGCAGTACCTCCCAGCCATTGGGCCAGACTGGGACGGTGTCCCAGTTTAACTTAAGCTGTGTGCCTTGGAGGTCTCACCCACAGAGTGCATCCGCGTAGAACGTGCCCCAAGGACTCAGTGAGTTCATAGCCACATGTTGAAAGTGCCTGGGACACACTAAGCCCATGGGTGGAATTTGCTGTTTGTCCAGGATTCTCTCTGTGCTGTCTTCAGAAAATTGTAGTAATAGGTCTCAGTCGCCAGCTGGATAAATCTCCATGAAATGAACACACAGCACCATGTGCGCCCTGGGGTCCTGCTGCAGATTCTCGATGTGGCGTTTGCCCTGCCTACCAATAGAATCCATGCTGATCGCCCTCCCATGCCTGGCTGCTTTTACACATCATTCTGTACACAAGGTTACCCATGTTATCACTGGTGCTCTTCCGTGTGGCTCTCCTTGCTGCCAGAGAATCCACCATGTGAACGGTCTGCTTTTCACCGCCCTTTGAATAGCTGCTGGCAGCGGGTATTGCCTCTTACAGCTGTCTGCAGGCACGCGAGCTGCCGGGCTGCCCGTGAGCTTGTGGCCCTTTGGGACAGCTGCTTCCTCCTCCTGAGTGTAAATCGACACAACCTTATGGAAGAAAATTTAGAAATCTCAAAATTGCAAACACACAGCCTGTGGTCCAGCAAGATTCCCTCTAGGAGTTAATTCTGCCTGGTGAAATTATACCCCAGGGCTGTTCATAATGTAAGCAAAAGATGACTCCTTACTTTATGTGTATGGGTGTTTTGCCGGCAACTGTGTTTGTGTACTGTGTGTGCCTGCTGGCCTCCGAGGTCAGAAGTGGGCATTAGATCCCCTGGAACTGGAGTTACAGATAGTTTTGAACCACCACATGGGTGATGGATACCCAGCCTGGGTCCACTGTAAGAGCAACCAGTGCTCTTAACCACTGATCATCCCCTCCTCACCTCTCAGAAGCAAAAGGTGAGACCAAGTGGCATCAGCTCAGTTTTTAAAAAATTCAGGGGAAAGGAATTGGAGGAGAGGAGGGAGGGGAATGTAAAATAGATGAATACATTTAATTAAGAAAACAAAATCCATCAGTAGCTGCTCAGTGGTGGTGCACACCTTTGATTCCAGCACTTAGGAGTCAGAGGCAGGCTGATTTCTGAGGCCCAGCCTGGTCTACACAGTGAGTTCCAGGACAGCCAGGGCTATGTGTACAGAGACCCTGTCTCAAAAAATAAAATAAAAAATTAAAGTTTTAAAAAAATCCGTCAAACAGCCAGGCAATAGTGGCAAGCACCTTTAATCCCAGCACTCAGGAAGCAGAGGCAGGTGGATCTCTGTGAGTTCAAAGCTAGCCTAGTCTACAGAGGGAGTTCCTGGACAGGCTCCAAAGCCACACAGAGAAAACCTGTATGGGAAAAAAAAATGTTTGAAAGCCATAGAAGGTGGTATGGGAGGTAGAGGCAGGCGTATATCTGTGAGTTCAAGGCCAGCATAGTCTACAAAGTGAATTTCAGGACAGCTAGGGCAGTTACAAAGAGAAACCCTGTCTCAAAACGAAGGCCAAGCCTCCCAGCCTGGGTTCAACCCCCAGGACTCACAGTGTAGGAGAGAAAGAACTGATGACCCCTGTAAGGTGCCTGTCCTCTGACCTCACATATGGGCTGTGGTATGTGCACATGTAAACACACGATAAGTACAATTTTAAAAGATCTATGCATAACAATTGGTTAAACTGCAGTACATCATTAATTCATCGTGATGCTATGCAGTAACTTGAAAAGGAAGAGGAGGGAAGTGCTGTATGTGTTGTTTGTTTTTGGTTTATTTGTTTTTTCAGGACAGGGTTTCTCTGTGTAGCTGCAAATAGCCATCTGTCTGCCTCTGCCTCCCAAGTGCTGGGATTAAAGCGTGTGCCACCACCTCTGGCACCAACAAAAGTGGAGGGGCCTAGGTATGTAGCTCAGTTAGCAGAGGACTCACCTGGAATCCACAGGGCTCGTCCTGAGTTCCAATCCCAATACGGGACAAAGAACCCACAAAGATCTATGAACTAAGTAAGTTTCTGCTTGTGGTAAGTTGCCTTTGAGGCCGATGATCAGGCGTCTACTCCTGTCTTATGCACTTTTTAGTAAACTGGATTTCACAGGGAAAAGAATGAAACTCTCAGGTGTCCCATGCAAGGCCTGTAGCTGTGGCCGCAGCCTCCGGGATGGCCCCCAGGTAGAAGCGCTTCACTCTGCCCCTCTCAGCAGACAGGGAGCGGGAACGAGGCAGAGCCCGGCCTCTCAGTTTGGCCTGGTGCCAGGCTGACCTGGCTGCCGGTGAGTCCGGGCGCTGTTGCCCTGTCCACGGCCTTTGTCCACAGCTGCAACATCTCCTGTTTCCACTGCCTCCACTCCATTGTTGACCACGGGGGTCAGGGCCCGCTGCCTTCTGCATTATTGATGGCTGCTGCCTATCAGGGGGGACTCGGGGAGACTAGGAACAGACTGAGCCCATAACCAGGCCCGAGCAGACAGCGCCAGCAACCGAGACCTCCGAGCAACCGTGGGCAGTCAGATCAAAAGGCAAAAGGAACCAGTCATTGGGAAGGCAGTCATGGGCAGAAGCAAGGGCAAAGCGCCGCAGCCCCGGGCTCGACCCGGGAGGCCAGCCCCAGCGGAGCAGGACTCGGGGTCAGCCAGCGCTGACGGCGCCCCCAGCGGGGATCGCAGGCTCGCCCGCGGCAAAGCCCACAAGACTAGGCCCGCTAAGGAGCCCGACGCCACCGCAGCTAAGGGGACCTCTGGAGGCCGCAGGAAGTCCGCCGAGGAGGGGAGCCACCGCTGCAGAAGTGCAGGGGCGGGGACATCACTGGAGACCCGGGAGACGCACGGCAGCACGCAGCGTCCTCGGAGCCACAGGCCCACGGAGAGCCGTGAGCTCGGGGACAGTCACAGGGAGCTTCCCGGGGAAGAAGAGTGGACGCGCAAGCGCGGCCGCCGCAGGAGAGGAAGGGAGCCCGGAGCTAAGGCTCTGCGAGGCCGTGGAGAGACTCCTGGCAGGGATGGGGACACGTCGGGCGGGGACGGTGGAAGCTCGTGCCTGGACAGTGAACACCGCGAGGCCCTGGATAGCAGCAGCCAGGGTGGTGGAGCTTCCGAACGGCCAATCAAGACCGGCTCAGAGGGCGCCCTTATCGGAAGACCCGAAACAACTGGCTGCAACCAGCAGGACAATGGAGGACTCGCCTTGGAGCTCCGGAGCAGGGAAGGGCCGTCGGGGACAGGGCCTCAAGGAGCGAGTGATGGTTCCAGGACAGATACAGACTCGAGTCCTGGGTGGGCTGGACACGGACGTCGCCCACGGAAGACCGCAGGAACCTCAAGCGGCATCCCCGAGTCCCAGGAGACAGAGCTGGGCAGAGAAGCTGCAGCCTCCAGCTCCCTGGAGAGTAGCTGTGCAAGCGCCCGCAGGGGCGCCCAGGGTCCTCTGGACTCCAGAGCGATCGCAGACACCAGTGACAGTGACGTCGGGGCGCAGCCAAAGGCTGAGCTGCAGGGCACGGAGCCTGAGTCAGCGGAGGCCCCCAGGGTCGGAGAGGTGGCAGGGAAGATGCAGGGGGTTGTGAGCGAGAGCGGCACGGGAGCCAGAGAGGGAGCAGGTGCAGGGCATCAACGACCCCAGGACCCGGGCCCGCTGGCTGCACTCGTGGTGCTCCGCAAGCTGCGTGCAAGGGCCCCGGCTGGTGCGTCTCCCCAGCTCGCGGGTGGCCTCCGCGTGGGTCTCAAGGCGCGGTTTCAGCGGGTGGCGCAGGCTCTGGGCCTCCTGCGCTGGCTGCGGCTGCGGGTGCAGCAACGTCGGAGCGATGCGCTCAGGGAGAACCCGCAGGAGCGTGAGGAGCGCGGCCGCGAGAGGGCGCTCGAGGCGCGGGAAGGGGTGCGGAGGCCACCGCGCTGGCGAACCATTTGCCTGGCCTGTCGGGCGGTGCTCCAGGCACTGCCGCGGTCTCCCCCTGGCGGCAGTACGAGCCCTCGGCAGGCTCTGAAGAGCTCAGGCTCAGATGGTGCATCAGCCATCGAGGATGCAACTCCAGATCCTAAGTTCGCGGTGGTCTTTCCCCGGATCCACAGCGAGGAGAAGGAGTCGTGCAGCAGCAGCTCAGGAGAAAGCCGCGTTTCGACTCATGCAGGGGCTGCAGAGTACAGGGAGGAGCAAGGGGCTAGAGAAGAAGGCGTGGTCGGGTACCACCAGCCTCCCTCCTTTTCCCCGCCTGTCCCCAGTGGGACCCCACCGGAGGAGAATCAGAGCGGAGCGGAGCCAGAGACCTTGGAAGTGAAGAGTCGGGTGCACTGGGCACAGGGCTCTACTCCCTGCGCAGACCCTGGACTTGGCGCTGATACTCTGCTACCCCAACTTACCTTGGAGACTCGCCTGCAGCAGAATAGCCCCTGCAGGTCCCCAAGGGAGCGGTGGGAGCCAGAGGATGATGCTGAGGCAGCGCTGGAAAAGGCCCTGGAACTTAGCCTAGAGATGCCACCCTTCCCCGGTGCTGAGACCAGGAGTCTCCCAGAGCACCTGGAAGACATTGAGGACCTCGCCCGGCTGCGGTGAGGGGCATAATGCCAAATCCACCACTCCTGGCTCGTAATTCCTCATACTCCATCCACCCTTGGACTTTTGAAAATCGTATGCAACTTTACTGAGGCAACAGGGGCTTTTGCTCTTCCAAAGGTGCCCTTCCAAAGCTCCAGCACGCACACGCACGCGCGCGCACACACGCACACACACTTACTATGGACTGAACCTAGGGTCTCTTGCATTTGGTCCTGAAACATATAGCCCCAGCCCTCTTTATTTTTAATGGGGGAGGGGGCTCTTAAGTGTCACAGTGCACACTCGGAGGTCGGAGGACAACTTGCCTACCCCGTAGTTTCTGGGGATCGCACCCGGGTTATGGGGCTTTGGGGGAAATGCTTAGCCATCTTGCTGCTCACCACCCCCACTCCACCCCTCCCCCCATGTGTTTTGTTAAGCCCAGGCAAGAGTTGAAATTGTGATACTCCCAAGTCGCTGAAATTACAGGCCTGTGCCACTGACAGGCAAGGGACTTCCTTTCCTGGCTGGCCCAGAGAGTATCTCTCTTGACCAGCAGCCCCCACCCCACACACACCCTCACCCCCAGGGCATGGGTTACAACTGAAGAGCCCAGCTTGCCCAGGCTTTCCCTAAAGCTATGTGGCAGAGCTAGGCCAGGACCGACTCCCAGCAACTTCGCCCTTGTCCTGCTGTCCCCACAGGCTGGTGTGTGACAGCTCTGTGTTACTGTGCCTCATGAAGAGGTTCCACCTGGGCCGCATCTATGTAAGGGGGACCGCATGGATGGATTCCCTTTCCTCCGTGGGCAGGGGATCCCTGGCGGTCCGGGGGCTTCTCCTCACCCCTAGACTGGGTGTAACGCCGGCTCTACCTGGGGTCCCACAAGACATGCATGAGAGCCGGTCTGGGGTACATCGGAGCTCCCCATTCATACCCCTTCACCCCTTCTCATAAGAGCCTCTGCTTTCTTTACCAGACTTTCGGGGGGCCCCTCCTGCTCGCTCTGAACCCGTACCAGCCACTGCCTCTCTTCTCACCTGAGGTCTTGGCCAGCTACCATCCCGGGAAGGCCCCAAACACCACACCGTATGTGACTTTGCCCCCAAATACGTCTTCCCGAGTGAGTTCCAGCCTGTGGGCACATCGCCTGTTCCTAGGATGCCCCAGACAGCCCTCCTGGCACCTTCTCATTGCTCTACTGTCCTTCACCCCCCCCCCCAGACACATCTTTGCCATCGGGGCAGCAGCCTACAGCCTGTCTCAGAGCTCTGGACAGGACGCCTGTATCCTCCTGGTGTACGTCACGGCTGATTGGGATGCTTGCCTGAACCGCACACCACCCTAACTATTGTTCCTATGCACTGTCGGGCAGCAGTTCAGGAAGCCACCCTCAGGACTGTGCTGAGGCGGCCCTGCGTGCCCCGGCCCTGCGTGCCCCGGCCCTGCGTGCCCCCCGCCCTGCGTGCCCCCCCCCCGCCCTGCGTGCCCCTGTGTGCCCCTGCGGGTCACTTCTTTCTGGTGCCCATGAACCAGGTATATTGTTACATTGTCAATTCCTCCCTACACAGTCGCTGCCTGGGCTCAGTGGGGCAGTCCTACATGCTCCCTCCTACGTGCTCCCTCCCAAGTGCTCCCTCCCAAGTGCTCCCTCCCAAGTGCTCCCTCCCACGTGCTCCCTCCCATCCTTCACCCCTCTTTCTTGCAGGGGGCACAGTGGCTCAGGGAAGACAGAGGCTGCCAAGAAGATCGTGGAGCTTCTAAGCAGCCTGGGTCAGAAGCAGACAGAGGCCAGAGGGGCTCAGGTGAGGTCTGACTGGAGGCAAACAGTCATTTCTCAGACCATTTCTCCAAGCCTGTGGCTTCTTGTGCATTGGCCCCAATATTTCCCTGATGCAGGGGAGTAGGGTAGGGCCTTTTTATTTTACTATTTATTATTTTTGGTGGTGGTGGGGTTTTGTTGTTGTTGTTTTTGTTTTTTATTTTTTTGAGACCCAATTTCTCTGTGTAGTACTGGCTGTCCTGGAACTTTTGTCTGTAGTCCAGGCTGGCCCTGAACTCAGAGATCCACCTGCCTCTCTCTCCACCTGCCGCGTGCTGGGATTAAAGACATGAGCCACCGTGCCCAGGATGGTCTAGACTTTTCTCTGTAGCTGACAATGACCTTGCATTTCTGCCTTTCCCTGAGTGCTGGGGTTACGGGTGTGCACCAGCACGCCCATTTTATGTACTATAGGGGACGAGCCCAGAGCCTTGCAGACATTGTAGGAGCACTCTCCCTCTCCCTCCGCCCTTTTATTGGGGGGGGGTTGGGATGACCCCGCAGGGGTCCACACAGCCAGCAGTATAGAGAACTCACAGTGGGTAGTAGGTGCTATGGCCATCTTACGTATACACGAGTGCCCCAACCCTCACACAGCTAGAGGACATACTGCCCGTGCTCAGCAGCTTTGGCCACGCCAAGACCATCCTCAACGCCAATGGCAGCCGCTTTGGCCAGGAGTTGCGCCTCTGCCTGCATCAGTGAGTGATAGGGGGTCACTGGGCACTGTGACACCTGCGATTGGTACTCTTCTTGGGCGTTAGGATACTGCCTTTCACCTCAGCCCTTGCATGGCCCCTTCTGGGAAGTGCTCCTGGACATGCCCACCCTGTGTCTTGCTCACAGGGGGGTCACCGTAGGAGCCTCTGTGTCCCACTATCTGCTTGAGACCTCCAGAGTAGTGTTTCAGGTAAGGACCTGCCTCCTACCCACCCTTCCCCAACTCTGAAAGTTGGAAGGAGCCATAGCTCCTAAACCCTGCCCCACCTTCAAGCCAGTTTCTGTCCCCAAGGCCCAGGCCGAGCGAAGCTTTCATGTTTTTTATGAGCTGCTGGCAGGGTTGGACCCTGTGGACCGCGAACAGCTCTCTCTGCAGGGACCTGAGGCCTACTATTACCTCAACCAGGTAGGGGGAAGCTTTCATGGATGGTGAATCCAGACAAGGGTTCAGCAAGGACTTTCAGGATGTTGTGGAGATACCCCACCACAGCCTCTGTACTCTGCAGGGCCGAGCCTGCACACTTCGGGGCAAAGAGGATGCCCAGGACTTCAAGGGGCTGCTGAAGGCCCTGAGGGCGCTAGGCTTGTGTGCAGAGGAGCTGAGTGAAGTCTGGGCTGTGCTGGCCACCATCCTGCATCTGGGAAACATCTGCTTCTCTTCTTCAGAGGTGGGATCTCCTGTGGGCAGGACCAGTGAGCACATAGGATGGGCAGTGATGGGCAGTTTGCACAATCGGAGCAATGATGATGCCAAGGTGTGGAAAATCACAAAGCACCAGGCTGCCATCACATAGACAAGAACCCTGGTCCTTCTGTACCGCTCCCGGTGCCTTTGTGCTAAGCTGTCACTCTTCAGATATCCTGGAGTTAGCGAGAAGATGCTGCCTGATGATGTCAAGGGAGAAGCCCTTGGTACTTTTTAAAAGAAACTCAATTCTCATGTCAACAGTGTGTCCTAAGTGGTATGTCGTCCCTCCAGCAATAAGGTAGCAGAAAGAGAAAGGGACTGGCCAGAACTGCCTGACCACTAAGAAAAGATAGTCGGGCTCACCCTCTGGGCCTTCAGCCCTGGAGCCTGGCTCACCTCAGTCCAGAGCACTTTGGTGCTGTTGGCCATTTATTTATTTTGAGACAGAGTTTTACTATGTAGCCCAGGCTGCCCTCGAACTGACAGAGATCCACCTGTCTCTGCCTCCCAAGTGCTGAAATTAAAAGTGTGCACTACCACAGCTGGCTGCTGTCGGCCCTTTGAGTAACAGGCAGCTGGCTGGATAAAACAAGGCTTTGCACAAGCAAAGCTCTTTCTGTCCCCCTCTGTCCAGCGAGGATCCCAAGAGGTAGCTGCTGTGTCCAGCTGGGCTGAGATTCACTTGGTAGCCCGGCTCCTACGAGTGCCACCAGAGCGCCTGGAAGGGGCGGTCACCAAGAGGGTCATGGTGAGTCCCAAGAGTGCTGGGAAGGTGGGAAGAGCAACCTGAAGCTCCTGTGGGTATGGCCCCGACATCCTGAGCATTTCTCTGGTCTCCAGGACACGCCCTATGGCCGGGTCTCTGCATCTCTGCCAGTGGGAAGTGCTATTGATGCCAGGTAACCGTGGGAATTGGAGAGAGGAGCCAGGTGAGATGCTCTGCTGGGCAAGGCTCACTTACCGTGTCTGCAGGGACGCCCTGGCCAAGACCCTGTACACAAGGCTCTTCAACTGGCTTCTGAAGCAGATCAACATGCTGCTGGCTCCACCGAGGGAGGTGGACGGTGTGGCCACCATCACTGTTGTGGATGCCTTCGGCTTTGAGGTCACCCTTTGGGAGCGGGACGAGCAGGGCAGGCGGTGCCCATCTCATTCCAGCTCCTCCCTGGAGGGCTCTAGCAGGCTGGAGGTTTTGCCTTTTACACCCTCCCCTCCCCCCTTGTTAAAAACCATTCCTAAAGGTAGCCACCGAGGTCTGTTTCCTTATTTGGCCACTTCCTCCTCCTGAGGCTGACTGCTGAGGTCTGGCAATCAAAGCCCCCCTTTGGCTCACCTAATTAACATGGCCAATGGAAATGAAGCAATTCATCCCAGCTCAGGGGCTTCCCCCTTGCCCTTTATACCCTTTATAAACTGCCTATTTGCCTATGGTCCACATCTGACTCCTCGCTATCCAGAGGCAGTCCTTTGTGTCTCCTGGGCAAATATCCCTCAGGCCTGTCCCTTGCCTGTCCCTTTCCTCGTCTCTCCCTTGTTCGCCTCTTATTCTTTGTCCTTTGTCCCTCGAGGGCAAATAGATCACCTTAGCACTGAGAACTTGTGTGTCTTGAGTGGGTTCCAGTCCTTTCCCTCCTCTCTGCTGGCTCCTTCTGGGCCTACGGAGTGGAATCTTGGTTGAGTGTCCCTGGGGGTGGGTGGGGGGAGGGGAAGGCGAGGAGGAGCCAGGAAGGAAAGGGAACAGGTCATGCCTGTTGGGTCTTTGGAGTCTGATGGAGGCTGGGGCAGGGAATCTTGGGGCTGCAGGTCCACTTGCTGCCATCTGCATGCTCCTGGGAGGAGGACAAACCCCACCACAAGCTCCTTCCCCAGCTGGAGCTGGCAGCCCTCCTGGGGTCCCTCTGGGAGGGGCTGGAGTCCACAACGGACCCCAGTGCTCTCTGCCCGTTCACTGCCCTGTGTGTCCTGCCCTCTTTGGGATGTCCTTGATGGCCACTTCTGCCCTGGATGGGAAGGGTTGTATGCATGTGTGTTCTGGTGCATGTTTGCAGGTGTGCACAACCGTGCTAAGGCAGTGGGTGAGTGTGCACAACCGTGCTAAGGCAGTGGGTGAGTGTGCACAACCGTGCTAAGGCAGTGGGTGAGTGTGCAAGCCGCGCTAAGGCAGTGGGTGAGTGTGCAAGCCGCGCTAAGGCAGTGGGTGAGTGTGCAAGCCGCGCTAAGGCAGTGGGTGAGTGTGCAAGCCGCGCTAAGGCAGTGGGTGAGTGTGCACAGCTGTGCTAAGATGACCTATCACCAACACCGTGTCCTTTAGGCTTGTCCCTGTTGACTGAAGTCTCAGTTCTGGGGTACCACTCCTGCTAGAGCCCTGGAGAGAAGGGAGGGAAGCCCCACTTGCCCTGCCCCGACCTCCTGTGCTTTTCACATCTCCCAGGCACTTCGGGTGAACAGCTTGGAGCAGCTGTGCAGCAACCTGGCCAGCGAGCGTCTGCAGCTCTTCTCCAGCCAGAGGCTGCTGGCCCAGGAGGAGGTAGGGAGCTGTGCACAGATGTGGCAGGTGACAGAGCGCTGCCCCATAATGGGTGGGGAGGCTCAGTCCTTCCTAACCTCCACTTACGTAAGAGGAGGGGAATCTCTTTTGTATAGCTCTGTGATCTCTACCCCACACACAACAAATGTGGGCTGTGAGTTATCAAATACTGTTTGTTTCTAGGAGGAATGCCAGCGAGAGATGCTGAGCTGGGTGCCCATTCCCCGGCCTCCGAGGGAGTCCTGCTTGGACCTCCTGGTGGGCCAGCCCCACAGCCTCCTGAGCATCCTGGACTCCCAGACATGGCTATCCCAGGTATCCCTGTCATCAGTGATGCTCAGTGCCAGGAACAAGGAATGAGGGCCCTAAGCAGCCACGATGAAGCCAGCAGGATCTCCTGGGAGACAACCAGGTTATAAGGTCCAGAGACCCAGCCTTTCTGCACAGCCCAGGGAAGAACCATTCAAGAGGGAAAGCATTGGGCTCACACCAAATGCTTCTTAAAACATTTCATTTTAAATGTATGAATATTTTTGTTTGTTTGTTTTGTCGAGACAAGGTTTCTCTGTGGCTTTGGAGGCTGTCTTGGAACTAGCTCTTGTAGATCAGGCTAGTCTTGAACTCACTGAGATCCGCCTGCCTCTGCCTCCTGAGTACTGGGAACAAAGGCACCACCAATGTCTGTCGTTTGTTTTTTCAAGACAGGGTTTCTCTGTGTAGTCCTGGCTGTCCTGAAACTTACTCTGTAGATCAGGTTGGCTTTAATTCAGAGATCCACCTGCCTCTGTCTCCTGAGTGCTGGGATTAAAGACATGTGCCACCACCACCCAGTATGTATGAATGTTTTGTGTGTGTATGTGCTCTCTCTCTCTCTCTCTCTCTCTCTCTCTCTCTCTCTCTCTCTCCCTCATTCTCTAGTACCGTGGAAATCAGAAGAGGTTGTTGGATCCCCTGAAACTGGAGTTACTATGGTTGAGAGCTACCACGTGGGTTCTGGGCCCAGAACAGCAAAAGCTCTTAGCCATCTCTCCAGCCCTTTAGTCTTGTTTTGAGATAGGAATTCATGTATATGACTTGCCTGGTCTTGAACTCCTGATCCTTATGTCTCCACATACTAAGTACTGGGATTACAGGCATGCACCACCAACAGCCTGCTACAAATGCTTCTTGGGTTAATAACTGGCTATTGGGTGTGAATATTCCCTGTTACAGGTTAGCCTCTGCCACCCTGTATTTGAACTCCCGGAGGGAACAGACACTCTTGGTTACCAAGTGTAGTCAGTGTGACTTATCTTTCCTCTACACTAGGCTGAGGTGCAGATGGACTGTCTGAAGGGCTTTGATTCTATCTGTGGTTCACTAGTAATGAAAGAAGGGGTAGATTTGCATGTAGGGACCTTTATAAGGGGAAAGGTCAGACACAAAAGATTCAGTTCTTCCCCTAGAGGCTGGAGAGATCCCTTAGCAGTAAAGAACACGTTGCTCTTGCAGAGGGGCCAAGTTCAATTCCCAGCATCCACATGGTGGCTGGCAGCCATCAATATAACTTCAGCTTCAGGAGATCTGATGCCCTCCTGAAACTCCATGGGCACCAGACACACATGTGCCGCACACAGAGATAAGCAAGCAAGCACACATACACACGTTAAAAAGGAAGTGAGTCTAACAATTAAGTTTTAAAAATGACTGGGCAGTGGTGGCACACTCCTTTATTCCCAGCACTGGGGAGGCAGAGGCAGATGAGTTCAAGGCCAGACTGGTCTACAGAGCAAGTTCCAGGACAGCTAGGGCTGTTACAGAGGAAACCCTGTCCCAAAAAGCAAATTAAATAAATGTAAAAATAAAGATAAATCAGCTGGGCATGATGGCACACCCCAGCACTCAGGATGCGGGAAAAGCTGGGCTGGGCTAGGCAGTCCATTGCCAGCTAGTCTGGCATATGAGACTTTCTCACAATAAATACATGAGAATCCCATTTATGTATGGGATGGGCAGTGAGTGCTGTGGGGTCACAAGAACGTGTATAAGACCCAGACCTTTGGGAACTGAGGCTGGAAGGGTAGACACCGAGAATAAAGGGACCCTGGGACAGTGGTATAGCTCAGTTGGCAGAGGGCTTGCCTGGCAGGCACAGAGCCCTGGGTTCGATCCCCAGCACGGTATAAAAGTAGATGCGGTGATGATGCTCTGTGGGAACAATCACCGTCTTGGGGAGTTCAGCTGTGCCTCCTTGCAAAAGATCATTCCAGGTGGGTTATTAACTGTTTATGATCCCCCACAAGAGGGATGGGGGGGGTCACCAGACCCTCGCCTACCTTACCTCGACACCTGTATTCAATTCGGCACTGATTGGCCCTCACTGCATGTGGTCTAGCATTTATAGGCCAGGGAAACAGGGAGGGAAACCTCTACATAGCTGCAGGAAAGTTCTGGGATGCTGGGTTAGATTGTTGGGGAGGAGCGCCCACACTTCATTGAGTGACTCCTCATCTGTGCCTGGTAAACTAGCTGGTTCCCCAGGGTGGACTTTGGAGAAATCATACCTTGCTTTCCCACAGGGACTTTAGGAGAAGGAGCAGGTGTTGCCCATTCCTCCCTTGAAGGGATTTTGACAAAAGGTGCACACCTGTAATCTCAGCACCCCAGAGGTAGAGGCAAGGAGGATCCTCTCGGCTACACAGGCTAGCCTGAGCTACAGGAGACAATACCAAACCAAACCAAAACCAGCCAGGCATAGCGCACAACCTTTAATCCCCAGGGTTCTGGGTGCAGAGGCAGGAGGATCAATGTGAACTCAAAGCCACTGTCTCCAAATGAAGGAAAGCTACCACAGGTGTTTCTGAAGTCCCAGGGTCACTCTTTAAAAGGTTTAAACATCTTACGTGTATGGGTGTGTTTGGTCTGAACACCGTGTGTACCTGGGACATGGGGAAAGCAGAAGAGGACATCAGCTTCCCTGGGACTGGAGTTACAACCATGAGCCACTATCCGTGTGGGAGCTGGGAACTGAACCAGGCACTCTGGCAGAGCAGCCAGGGCGCTTAGCCGCTGAGCCATCTTGCCAGCCCTTAGGTTATATAACATAACCTGTAAGGACTTGAGAAGCTGTAGTTGTGGGATCTGCCTGGGATGGCTTTGACATCTGTGTCAAAGGCCCCGCCCGACTCTATTTCCTGTTAACTCCTTCGGGCTTCCTCAGAAAGTCCACATCTAGGGCCTGTGGAGACGGCTCCTGGGCCTGACATGATCCTGACTGGTACTACTCAGTTGTTCCAAATGTACAGTCATCGAGAGAGAGAGAGAGAGAGAGAGAGGACAGAGAGAGAGAGAGAGGACAGAGAGAGTGTGTTTTCTAGGGACCCCGCTACAGACTCACTGACTCTTCCTGTCTGAGGAAGAGATAGATGTGCAGAGACAAGTCTCCTTGTCTAGGGAGTGTGGTCCTGGGGTCTCCAGGTGGGAACGAGGTCCAGCCAGGGAACAGCAGCATGTGTGCAGCCTGAGGAAAGTGTGTGCCTTTTTCCTCGCCAGGCCACGGACCACACCTTCCTCCAGAAGTGCCACTATCACCATGGTGACCACCCAAGCTACACCAAGCCTCAGCTGCCCCTCCCCATCTTCACAGTGAGGCACTATGCTGGGCCCGTCACCTACCAGGTATCTGTTCATGCGCACAGGTTCCAGGGCGAATCAGTAAGGCCACATCACCTTAGTGTCTGCCCCTCCCAAACTGAGTCACCAACCAAGTGACAGCGGCAGGGTGGCACAGCTCCACCTGAGCCTCAGGCCGCACCCAATTCTGAGCATCAGGATAGTATTCATTTTTACAGATGTATTTGTTTTTAATGTGGGGGGGGCAGCAGTTTTGTAAGCTACTGCGCACATGTGGAGGTCAGAGGACAACTTTTGGGAGTCAGTTCCCTCCTTCCACAGCATGAACAAGTGGGGTGTTGAACTTTTGGGTCTCTCGAACTCAGGAGTAGGCATCTTACTGGCCTAGCTCATTATGCAGCTACATCCCCCCCTCTCTCGTTTTTTGGAGACAGGGTTTCTCTGTGTAGCCCTGGCTGTCCTGGAACTCACTCTGTAGACCAGGCTGGCCTTGGACTCAAGAGATCTGCCTGTCTCTAAGGGGCTGGGATTAAAGGTGTCCGCGGCCGCCGCCGCCGTTACCACCGCCTGGCTTTTGAAGTTTAATCCCTTTAACCACTGAGCCTTCTCTTGGGCTGGAGTTATAATTGGTTGTGGACTGCTATGTGGATGGTGGAAATCAAACCTGGGTCTTCAGGAAGAGCAGCCAGGGCTCTTAACTGCTGAGCCATCTCTGAAGCCCCATGTAGTCTGTTGGTTTTTGTTTTCTTTTGTTTTTTTAATATGTTTATGCTTTGTAGTTTTGCTTTTGATACAGAGTCTCACTCTGTGGACCAGGCTGGCCTTGCACTCAGAGATCCACACGACTCTGCCTCCCAAAGTGCTGGGATTAAAGGTGTGCACCACCATCCATGTCATTTGATTTGTTTTTTTGAGACAGGGTTTCATAATGTCTCATCTGGCCTTTAAGTTTTTTTGGAGCCAGGGATGACTTTATTTTGGATCCTTCTGGGGTTGCAGCTGTGTAACACCCATGCCTAGTTCAGGCCACGCTCAAATCCAGGGGTGTGAGTATGTTCCCTAAGGTCTCTTCCAGCTGAGTTACAGCCCTGTCCCTGAGGTTGGGTTTTGATTAAAAACAAACTATTCTGAGTTTTTTCTTTTTAAAGATTGAT